GTTTGCGATGCTACTGAAGTTGTAAATTATCCAACAGAGTTTTTAAACTCATTGGATTTACTAGGCATGCCACCGCATAATTTACAATTGATCATTACAATTTACCATCGATAAAATACCTCCTTCAGAGTAATTTAAAGTTGTAATACATGCAGATAAAAAACCACCAGAAGAACATAGAGGCAGGTATAATGCACCAACGGCAAATGAAGTTGCTTTAGTGTTAGTAGATCAGCAGTTTGATCGAAGAGACATCATCCTCGAAAACCGAAGTAACTCACTTCACCGTATCAGTGAGATACATCGAGCATACGACGCACTGCAGTATCCTTTAATGTTTTGTTGGGAGGATGATGGGTATGCAATCAATATACCACAACGCGATCCAAAAACTAAGTTACTGCTTAAAAAAACTGTCTCTGCATCAAGTTTTTACTCATATAGAATAATGGTCAGAGAAGGGGATTACAACTATTTAGTTAATTATCGTTCTCTTTTCAGTCAATATTTGGTAGATGAATACGCCAAAATTGAAACTGAAAGACTAAATTACATCAAAAACAACCAAGCCAAATTGCGTGCAGTTAGTTATATTCATTTAAAAGATGCGATTGGACGACGAGACATAGAAGCTAATCAGTTAGGCTAAATGGTTATACTCCCGTCAACTTTTACTGGTGGGCCAAGGTACATGCACGAAAGAACACAAGATGCTATGACCTACGTTAGACATTACGGTCGTCCTGACCTTTTTATTACTTTTACATATAATCCTTGCTGGGACGAGATAAAAGAGCTCTTACTTCCCGGTCAAAGATCATATGATCGAAATGATATAATTGCAAGAGTGTTTCGGTTAAAAGTCAAAAAGACCATGAAATTATTGACAAAAGGTAAAATATTCGGAGAAGTGAGATGCTACTCGTATATGTATTCAACAGAATACCAAACTGTAGAGAGGTTCGGTAGTTGTAAGCTATAACTTATCGAATAGGTTATGATAATAATCATTATCTTAAAAACTAAATTAATATGTATAAAATATTATTTCAAAAATCTTAATTAATTTAAATTTCAATAGATTTAACAAAATTTAATCTTGGCAGGTTACATACATTTATATACTTAAACCCGGCAACGACGAGTAATTCAGCTAGTTCATTATAAAAATATTTTGAATTCTGATTGAAACTAAGGATCTTATGGCTTTACAGTTATGTTATTTATTTATTTATTTTCTGTAAACATTTCACTACGCGCTATCGGCCTAATGTTGAATCATTATCTAGCATGTCTAAGATAACGATTACTTCATAATAAAATTTAATTTTAAATATTTGACAACAATAAACGGTGTTCGGGTTTATACTAGTATACTCTACTCCGGGGCCCCGATATTTCATAGTAAATCGTGAAGTAACTACACATTTTTGCTCGACTTTTTGTTAACTATGGGGCCCTGTGCAATCGCACAGCTCGCACAACCCTAGCACCGCCACTGAGGACAAAATTTATATAAGTATAAAAGTTAGATATTAACTATTTATTATTTTATAATTAATTTTAAATGCGGTTTAGAGTATAAGAATTTAATTCATAAATACAATTATTTGTATTATTATTAAAGAGAATTGCGGTTTTAAAATCGTATAAAATATTATTCACGTCTTGTGGTCTTGTAGATATGATATTAGTAACCATGATTGATATTTCAATTGTAATTGACAAATATCAGCGAAAATAAGTAACCTAACTTGTAATGTATTATATTTTTAGTAGAAAATGTTACAAGTGTCTTGGGTTATTGTTAGGTTATTGTTAGGTATTGTGAATATTTTATTTTACGAGTATGTAGTTCAATACTATAACATAGATTGAATTTTCTTGAATTTAAAAAAAAAATCCTAATTTTTGCATAAATAATTTTTATTTAAAAATATTAAACAATGTTATATGCAGTATGTATCGGATTTGAACAAAGCTTATTTTTGAATAAATATATATTACATGTTCTGTTATTTATAATTATTATAAAAATTAAAATAATATTCATCGCCTAGCCAACGCGTATTTTATGTATGTAAATGTATATAATTATTGAATTTAGCATTTTTTTTGAAATTTTGAGACATAATCGTAGGTGACCTCAAAATCAACATGCATTTTTACAGTTGTATTATTGATGAAATCTTAGTAATACTGTAAGCTTTTAACTTATCTGGTCCGTATTGAGGTCTGGTGGCGCCCCCGATGAATCACTGTATTTCCCCCCCTCCAGTGGTAAAGTTGAATTTTTGTACAAAAGATCATTCGAGATATACAAATCATGTATAAAAACATAGTACCCAAGGTAATAATTACTAATAAACTTTAATAACTATATGTATTACTTTAAAATATCAAAAGCTATTAAAATATTAACAATAAAATAAAAAAACAATATAAATAAATAATTAAAATAATTAAAACAATCAATACATTATAAAAACATGTCATTTTCTCTAAATGTTTTTGTTTTACAATTGTGTTAGATGATTTTAAATTTATTTATTACAATATTACAATGGTACTTTTCTTGCTCTTATAGAGGCAAATTTATCTATGACATTATCAAATGAAATTGTTTTAACTACATATTTTTCATATTTTATGAAAAATATTAAATAAGCAGTGTTGAAATTGGCGCCCCTTTTAGAACTGCGCCCCTGGCCCATGCCACTGAATAATACGGCCCTGCTTATTATTTTCGACCATTGATAGTGGAGTTAAATCGTTCCCAGTTTTCATGAAAAATTTTATGGAATTGTATTAGAAAATGAAATTAGGTGCCTACTATTTTGATTGGTTATTTTTATTTTTATAAAAAAAAAATAAGCACCAGAAATCAGAATGATTTTTATTTTTAATCTTCAGTTAGTGTAAACATACAAATAAATTTTCTGGAAAAAAGTATTTGTATAGTATTTGTATTCCATAACAACTGAAAAATATGATACTAAATTACTGTTATAAATAAGCAACTTATAAAATATTATGTCAGTACACGCATATAATATTTTTATAACTTAAATGATTTATTTAAAAAATATTATTACCAAACTTGCATTTGATAAAAATGATAGATATATCTAACATCATAATCTAATAACTATACCAGTATTGTGTATACCATAAATTTATATTTCTTAGTCTATTTGATTAGTTGAAAATGAGAACATCCTATGTTTTATTGTAATTGTTGAGAACTAATTAAAAATTAGTTAATTAGTTAATAATTAATTAATTGTTATTTATACAAAAATAATTAAATTGCTATTCAATTAAAATTGTCAATAAATTTAATTGTGTTGTACTATTGTTTTTATAACTTTAACGTTATAATGATAACTGCCATAATTTTATTAGCCGTACCTTTCTATCATTGTATGTATCATTCTATCAATTTAAATTTTATAAAAATAAAGACTTAAAAGATTTAAAATTAAAATTAAACACGAAAAAATAATGCTAGTAAATACAATTTTCCATATATAATTATAAAAATAATTAAATATATATAATATTTTTAGAAGTAAAATATTTCATAACATTAATAATCAAAAATTAAGGCTTAAAACTGCACGATCCTATGATATATAGAACTTAATAAATATATAACTTATATAACTTAATAAATACGAGGTGTGATCGATAAATATCGAGACTAAAATTATATCTAAGTTAAAAATAATCGAATCGGGAATTTACACATATAAAATAAAAGTAAAGATAACACTCAATTATTTTATTTAAGCCGCTAGTAAATATTAACTTTTAATAATGAGTGACGGTTCATTGAAGTTTGATTGAAATTTCATTGACAGTTCATAAACTTTTATAGTACCTACCGTTTTTGTCGTGTCGAATAAACTCGAGCAGCGTATTTGCATTTAAGTTTGCGTTAAACTCGGTAAATCAGCGACTGAAACTTTTTAAATCATTAAAAAAGTATTTGAAGATGAAGCAATGAGTAGGTCTAAAACATTTGAATGGCATAAAAGGTTTATTAAGGGTTGTGAAGATATTAACGATGACTCTCGTGCTACACGACCTTCAACTTCAAGAAATGTGGAAATGATGGAAAAAGTACGAAAAATTATAGATATTAGATAGACGAATGACGATAAGAGAACTTTCTGGTGAATGTAAAATTTCTTATGGATCATGACAAACTATTTTAACTGAAGATTTATGCATGAGACGAATCTGTGCAAAAATTATCCCAAAATTGTTGTCTTAAGATCAAAAAAATCATCGAAGTTTATCAAAGTTTGAAAGAACGAACACAAAATAAGCCAAATAAATAAATAAAAAATCCCAGTATTTTTTTTTTATCACCTCATATGTTTATTTAATGTTTAACAATTCTTTAAAAGTAAAAAAATTATCTTATATTTTTATTTTTTTGCTTTGTCGATAAATGTTAATACTGAATTATTTATAAATATTGAAAAAAGAAATCAAAAAATGAATAAATTTTAATTATATTAATATTAACATACTAAAAGTATAATATAAAATATTTTTATTAAAAAAAAATAACTATCATACTTTTATCTTTGATAAATACCTCTTTTTTTTAGTTAATAGGTTCTTTTTGTTATTACAAAATCTATTTTGGATTAATTTATTAAAAACTATGAAAATGGTTAGGTATGTGATCCCAATTAAATTTTAGTATTTTATTAAATACCTTAATAGTATATATATTTTATATACCTAAAAATAGGTTTTTAAATTTAAAATTTGTTAAATTATATATATTTATTGAAATGGATTTGTGTCAAATTATATTTTTGAATACACTGCTAATTATGAAGTTTGTAATTTTTGAAGTTCCTATTATTATTAATAATTAATAAATCTTTATTATAAATAACTATGACATACATGAACTAATATAAATATGAGGAAAAATTATAAATATCTCATTAATCAATAAAATGTTTGTTTTATTTCAGATTAACCGAAGAAAAATTTCAACTTATAAATGTAAGTTTTTATTGAATTTTTATGTTAGTACTGAAATATATTGTATATATATAAGCTTTATTTTCTTGTAAATATGTTCTAAATCGTTATATCCATATACCTAATAATCTCTAATTTGGTTGTGTAGTTTAACTATATTATTAACATTTTCTACAAAAATGTTTTAAGCTTTTTTTTTAGAATATTTGTTTTGAAACACAGCATTAATAAAATATAGTATAGTTTTAAAAATATTTTACTTTATTAAGTAAAACCTTTTCTTGAAAAGGTAAATTAATCATTAAATATTTCTTTTTTATTTATTCTTTCGAATTTAAGAATTTAAATGAGGCTTTAACAGTTTACCGTTAAACCTTATCTTAGTTTACGTTTTTTTACTAAAAATTTTTTTAGGAATGATAATTATTAAATTCATAAATTGAATTTATTTTAACTTTTATATACATTTTATATATTAATTCAAAGTTTTACTATTTCTTTAGACAAAATTATTGTTATAAATTATAATTTATATTTATTTTAAGATCGATAAATCATATTTTAAATTTAAGCAATTATTTTCTCTACTTGTTATGTTATATTATACTGTGTTTATTGTTAAATTCTGTTGGTACATTTATTGATAGCTAGTTTTTTTATAATTATCAATATACTACTTATAAGCTTACTTCATTACATAAAAAACTAACGATTACTATAATATACTTGGGCTATGATTCTATGATATAATTACGTTACAAATAAGTAGTATAATATACAATAAACAAGTTTCAAAATTAATATTTAGGAAGTCGTTTATTTTATTTATTGATCATTGAAAATTTACTATGAGGTACAAATCTGAATAAATCATCGAAGAATTGAAGATAATATTAAACTATTTGAGTGTTGTTAAAATTGTATGAATTATTATAAATCCGCAGATCATATAATTTTTCACTGTAATGCTAAACATTTTCGGTATATAATTTTATCATAGGGTTATAAAATCAATTGAAAATAGTTTCTTATAAAAATTATGTGTACGTATTTTCATACATATATTCATAGGTACACGTAATATTATGTACTTATAAATTTACTAAACTATGATAATTTTATACAATTAGTTTTTCATATAAGTAATTAAATATATATTGGAAATGGGAAGTCTTTGAATATTATTGATAGTATTATTAATGTAAAATACTACTATCCCTTTTGAATTTTATTAAAAAATTATAATTTATACATTTTTTATTTATTGTTATAATTAATTACTATGTTTAAAAAAAACCGATAGTTTATTTTGTGTTGATATAATTGGTATACTATAATACTACAGTTGTTATATTTTATCAATAAATATTATTTTTTCAGTTTATTTATTTATTTTTTCTCTAATCATCTTTATTTAAACCATTTAGAATCGAATACATTTTTATCATAGTTTTTAACACTCATTTTATTTCTGTAGCATTTCATATTTAATTTTGGATTTAAATAATTTAAATTTTTATTTATAATTTTATGTTAATACATCGATTTCACTATTACTCACTTAGAAGTTTATAAATAATACTGTAATATAACATATAAAGTAGGAGAGAGGCGTATATGTACAATGTCCATGACTATGAAATAGTGATGATATCTATATGTATATGACTATTATGAATTATCAAAATCCTTTCTCCGTGTTGTGTGTCCAGCTATGAAAGCCCTTTTGACCCATTACATCACTATCGGAGGCGTTTATAGTGAAATAAATATTATATATGTTTATTACAGAATAAATTTTATTTATTAGGATTCCTTAATTTCATAACAAACATATTAAATTATATAATATTCGTTCATAAATAATGATTATTCAACTAATGTTTAATAATTGGAGTGTGATTTTGTTAATTTTAAAAAAATGGTCCTCGTGTTATAAATTAATAATATTTGAATGCATTTATTAATTATAATATTAAATTAATGTTTTCTGTGAAATTCTTTAAAAATAAATTTAATTAAAGTGTATAATGTCAAATAAAATAAAACAGTAGTTTATAAAAAAAAGTTTGTCATTTATTTGGCTTTACTCATCTTAGTACAATATTATAGTGTATTTTTGTTACAAATATTTGAGCGTGAATAAGTATTAATTCGATCAATAATTCTAAAATTAACTTAGAAGTGGTCAATATTTGGGGAAAAAATGGCGCTTGTTTTTCTGGTTTTCATTATCATTAAAAAAAAAAAAAAAAATATATCAACATTTTTGTAAAACGGTATTTTAAGATTCAATCAACGATTATCGAAATCTATAAATAAATATAAAAATTAATGGTTTTTAGGAAAAGTGTATGTATTTTTTTTTTTCATTATTGTTGAATTTTAGCAAAAAAAGGCAATTAAAAATAATACGTAAATATAAAGTATAATATATCGTGTATAAAACCTTAAAAGTTGTTTATACTATTAGTATATTATTTATTTCTCAAATTCAGTATGGTTAATTTATTTTTGTAAATACAAAACATGACGTTTTCAAGTAGTTTATCCGGCAATCCAGGATTTTTTAAAAAATTATTTTTAATACAAAAAAAAAGAAAAAGAACATGTAAAACTAAAGCTTTATACAGTTTACTCATAATTGTAGAAAAATAGTATTGTTTTATTGTTCATATAGGTTTATATATTACCGTGGTACGCATAGGAAATATATGTGCTGTACAGTACAATATTTTAACATGCATTTTTCAAGTACTCTGTTTTTGACGTTCGGAACTTTCTATTACATTGAGTTTTGGTTTACCATTTTGAATTGTTTGGATGTATCGTATAATATATCAAAATAAGTTAAGGTTACATTAAATCAAAGAGCGCTAAAATTTATTATATTAATTACCAAAGTTGTGTAACTAAGCAATACACCAAGTACCTGATAGTGACATTTGTATTGTTAGTCAAAAATAATTCATTTTCTTGATGTTTAAATGTGTAGATATTTAGAAACATTCATAGAGTATTTTCTACATATTTAATTAGATATACCTAAGTTCCTATTCAAATAGTGGGTTAGTTGATTTAAAAAAGTAATATGTTTATTATTTTATTTTATAATACCAACTACTCTTAGGATATCATAAACTATATAACTTATATATTATAATACATTTTAAATAACATTTTATCTATAAAACGTTATTTTTTGTTAATTCCGCTTTGACTACCTCCCTCCATATACACACCCACATATACATTACACAAAAAAAATATAAAGGATTTATAATAACAAATTTTGAACAATTTATTTAAACTTTTTTATTGAAAGATCAACAGAAGCTTTCTAAAGTTAAAATAAATAAATATATATTTATATTTATATGTGTTTTTGGTATAAATTTACTCACATTTTTGCCTAATTTAAGCTAATCTTCATTTTGTTAGAAATTTACATAGCTTAATGCACTATTATTGGATGGCTAATAATTTAAAAATAAAAAAGGTAGGTCCCATATTTTTAACTCTTAAATTATACAGTTTAAACTAAAATATAGCATTACATAAAATGAATTGTTAAAATACATGAAAAAATAACTAGACATTTTTCCTCTTCATTCTTAATATTTTTTTTTTACTATACTCTCAATATTATGTTTAAAACTATTATAGTGTGTTAAAAAATGTACTTGTACGCTTTACTTAAATTTTCGAATTCGCGAACTATGTAATACTACTTTTTTTCGTAAATAATAATTACAACCATAACTCAAATGTTATGCCAATCCAAAGAAATTTAATTATCTGCACAATGTTAGATTACCTTTAAAATATATACACACCCAAAGCATTATAATAACTAAGAATTGCCCTGAAGCTATTGTAGACGCTTTCGATAAACTCCGACAGTTTCCGGAGAGGCAGTACGGAAGTAGTCGTGGAACCAGTACTCGAATACTATCACGTAATTGGATCACGAATCATTTGAAACACTACTTCGCTGTTCCAGGAGTATTTAAATATTCATCGTAATATGTCCCTAGTCATGATTATACAATGGGCTAATGAGAAATTTTATCTTAAGGTGGGTAGTATTATAAATAATAACGTGTGAATATTAAAAAAAACAGAGGCGTTGTATTAATGGAAAGTGTTTAGTAAAACATGGTACAACATAAAGAATGATAAAATTGACTACACATATTTTTATTGATTGATTTTATATTCCGTCATTTCTTTCGTTCTACGAAACAAACTTGAAATCAATCTTGATAATCACAATTTAACTGTTTCTAGATTTTAACTGAAGCGGGGAATTAATTTAAAAAATACAATAGTTGAGTTGAAATAGTCAATCTATAATTTGTTAACAATTATTATTAAAAAATGACCAGACTTTGTTACAAATATTGTAATTTTCATGTATTCATTAGATAACATCCTTTTTTTTGTGTCTTAAACTAAAAAACAAAAGAAATTTCTCTTTTATTTATTTTCAGCCTATTATACATAAACTAAAAAAAATATTGTATTTATCTTTTCTTAATATTTTTTATGAGTAAGCAAATTACTCATTATTATGTAAGTATTTTAAATTATTGAAAGTCATTTCATTATGAGAATTATATATTTTCGATTACATCGATTGTATTATTTTTATTTTTATTATATATTTTTTTATTATAATTCATAACAATTATAACTATTAATTATTTATATTTATGCCACAATGAATATTAAATATTGATTGTCTTTTAATTGTATGAAATAAACCAAGATTAAACTTGTTTCAATTTTGCATTCGATGAATAAGTATAGTCTGTACTATTATTAATAGTATTATCTTGAATAGTAGAACCTAGTTATTTATTTGAAGAATAACATAAATTATTGCCGGATAAGCTAATTGGCCCACCATGGATACAGGTTTTGAAGTCAAATGTTTTAGATTCCTGGGGAAGTTTTACTATGAAGATTTTTTTTATGTATCCGCCTACATGATTTTTTTTAACTATAATGGGTGGTTT